TTTATAATGAACAATATGTGTGATAGCGTCGACAAGTGTGTATTTTAACACAAACAATTTTGTCCACGTAATTATTTATATTTGATGGAGAGTAGTTTTAAGCAATTGTTCTATTTGTCTTGTTGTATTTTTCTGGTTAATATTCACTTGATATAACCTTTATCATTACTGTGGACATCTATCCTTAACAGTATAGATGCTTAAATTCTTTCCCTAATTTCTTGCCTTTTATGTAAATATATATACGACCTTTTATCTATGTCTCTCCCTGTTTGTGTGTCTCTGTGTCTGTTTATCCGTGTGTGTGTGTTAGCATGTGTGTGTGAGTGTGTGTGTTTATTTTTCTCTCTCCCTCTCCCCCCTCTTTGTCTCTTCGTTTCTGATCGTTCTTTCCTTATTACAATGTAATTATAGCAAATTTTATTGTTATCTTTGTTATTACAGCCTTACTAAGACTTTTAATGTTATCTTTTTTATCGTTACCATTACTATTATTATTTCTATTAATATCATCATCATCATTATCTTTGTTTCATCATTATTATTGTTAGCATTTTCATTATTATTATCACTGGTGTCATTATTACAGTTATTATTATTATTGAACTTATTACTATCATAATTACTATATAATTAATAATCTTTATCCCTCTTCCTGCCCCTAACCCCCCACCCACTTCCTAAACCCCACTCCTACCCCTCCCATATCTCCCTTCTCCTCCCCCCCTTCCCCCCCCCCCCTCCTCTCTCCCGATCCCTTCCTTTTCTCCTCTCCCCCCACCCCTTCCCCATACCCTATCTCTCCCCCCTCCCTCCTCTCCCCCACCCACTCCTCCCTAACCCAAACCCCTACCTCTCCCTTACTCTTCCCTTTCCCCCTCCTTCCCCTCTCCACCTTCCATATTCCCTACCTCTCCCCTCTTCCTCTCCCTTTCTCCCCTCCCCCTTCCTTTTTCCTTCCACCCTCTCCCCTTCCTCCCTACCCCCCCTTCCCCTCCCTTTTCTCCCCCTCCTCCTCCTCCCCCTCTCCCCTTTCCCATACCCCCTCTTCCCCTCCCTTTCCCCCCTCCCCCTTCCTTTTTTTCTTCCACCCTCTCCCCCTCCCTATTCCCTACCTCTCCCCCTCCTCCTCCTCCTCCCCCTTCCCTTTCCCCTACCCCCTCATCCCCTACCCCCTCTTCCCCTCCCCTTTCCCCCCTCCCTCTCCCCTTTCCCTTCCCCTCTCTTCCCCTCCCTTTTCTCCTCCTCCTCCCTCTCCCCTTCTCCCCCTACCCCCTCTTCCCCTCCCCTTTTCTCCCCCTCCTCCTCCTCCTCCCCCCTTTCCCCTACCCCCTCTCCCCCTCCTCCTCCTCCTCCCCCACCTCCTCCTCCTCCCCTTCTTCCCCTACCCCCTCTTCCTCCTCCTCCCCCTCCTCCTCCTCCACACACTTTTCCCCTCCCCCTCCTCCTCCTCCTCCTCCCTCTCCCTCCCCTCCTCCTCCCTCCCTTCCCTCTCTCCCCTCCCACAGCGCCATCACCTAGCCACCAAACCCTACTGCGACATGCTCGTGGACAAGAGAGATCAAGAATGGAAGATGCTGAGGACCCTTATTAATCCGGTATTTTCGCTCGCCAAACTCAAGCAGGTGAGATGAGGGAGGGGAGGGAAAGAGGGAAAGGGAGGGAGGATGGGAGGGAGGGAAGGGGAGGGAGGGAAGGGGAGGGAGGGAGGGAGGTGAGGGAAAGAGGGAGGGGAAGGGAGGGAGAAGGTGGGAAAGGAGGGAGGGAGGAAAATAGGGAGGGAGGGAGGGAAGGAGGGAGGGAGGGAGGGAGGGAAGGGAGGGAAAGAGGGAAAGAGGGGAGGGAAAGGGTGGGAAAGAGGGGAGGGGGTGAATACGAAAGAGGGAGGGAAGGAGAAGGAGGGAGGGAATGAGGGAGGGAGGGAGAGGGAGGGAAAGAGGAAGGGAGGGAAAGAGGGAGGGAGGGAAAGAGGAAGGGAGAGGGAGGGAGGGAAAGATGGAGGGAGGGAGGGGAGGGAGGGAGGGAGGGAGAGGGAGGGAGGGAGGGAAGGGAGGGAAAGAGGGAGGGAGGGAAAGAGGGAAGGGAGGGAAGGAGGAAGGGGAGGGAGGGAGGGAGGGAAGGGGAGGAAGGGAAAGAGGGAATGAGGGAAGGAAGGAGGGAGGGAGGGAAAGAGGAAAGAAGGGAAAGAGGGAGGGAGGAATAGAGGGAGGAAGGGAAAGAGGGAATGAGGGAAGGAGGGAAAGAGTGAGGGAGGAATAGAGGGAGGAAGGGAAAGACGGAGGGAGGGAAAAAGGGAGGGAGGAAGGGAGGGAAAGAGGAAAGGGGAGGAAGGGAAAGAGGGAGGGAGGGAGGGAAAGAGGGAAGAGGAGGAAGGGAAAGAGGGAATGAGGGAAGGAGGAATAGAGGGAGGAAGAGGAGAAGGAAGACGGAGAGAGGGAAAAAGGGAGGGAGGAAGGGAGGGAAAGAGGGAAGGGGAGGAAGGGAAAGAGGGAGGGAGGGA